AAAACTATAATAATATTAGAAACATGATTATGTATGGTTCCTATCGATTTCTCTTTGAAACCATTGCAATTTCCAAATATCGCCGCTTCTTTAAATTTACTCTTCTTTGAGCTTCTTATATTCCGCATCATTCTCCCTTGGTTGGAAAAAACTCAACCACGAGTTTTGAAGTGTTGAAGTATAAGCATCTACAAGGTTCGGAATTGCATCCACGGCTTCATGTTGAAATCTTCAAGTTGGCAGCATCGTTTCTTTTTCATTGGAGTTAGCAATGAAAGCAACAAGATATTTTAAGCTCTAAAGCTGCATTTTTCTAGAATGACGAAATCAATTGCTATGGAAGATGAACCCTTAAATTGATTCAAGTGTAGAGTTGCAAAATTTTGCCCATCCATTCCGTTCTCTTTTGGCTTTGCAATGTACTGCTTACAATCAATTTGAATGCTTTTTCTTGTATCAACAATCATGGATTTCATATGCTCAGCCTTTTTCTCAATCAAAAAGGTGTTATGCAATTCAACCTTGACATCTTGTTGAATGAAATTAGCACCTATCATTGTTTCTGGCATGCTATACTCACTCAAATTTGCATTCTGTGCTGGTGGGTTAGGCAATTGTGATTGTAATATAGGATCAATATCATGCTAGACATTATGCACGGGTAGAGGTTCACTAGACGACTTTGTTGGCATCAAATTAGAAAATTTAGGCAATACATTGGTGACCTTTAAAGGCATATTTTGCACAGCACTAGCAGCTGGTTGCTTTGATTCTTTAGTCCCTATAGTTTCCATAGCATCCAATTCCTCGTTTTCGACTCTAGCTTTTACTTGAGTAATAACTAGATCTTCTTGAGGTGCTTTTCGATCATCAATAAGTGCCTCGTTATCCTTCAAAATCGGGTCATCTTTCATCTTAGGAAAATTCTGAACATATTCATTCGTTTGCAACTTCAATTGTGTATGGTTTCCATCCCTAAAAATAATATTTGGTTTTATTGCATCTTTTTGTGGCTTTTCAGCATCTTCTTGTGGCACTTTAGCCCTTGGTTTAGGAGTTTTTGTTGGTTTCTCTTGTTGGACAGTCTTTCTATTATGCGCAGGTTGCAAAACTGTAGATTTCTCTTTAAATTTTACAAAAAATTCAAATTGTATAGCCGTTGCAATAGTATCTTCGAGATCTTCTAAATATGCATGAGACATCTCTGTTTTAATTCCAAATCTTAATCCTCTTTTGAAACGAGCAATAGTCATTTGTTCACTTTCTACCACTCCAGATTTGATAACTAATTTCTTGTATTTTCTTGCATAATTAATCACACACATATCACCTCGCTTAAGAGCATACAATTGATCAAGAATATCATTTTGAAGATTCTTCAGACGGATATTTTCTCTAAGAAGCGCTTTACCTTCTTCCCAAGTCAATCCACTTGTATTGGATCTCCCATAATGTGAAAACATCATGGCGAAACCTTAAGCTCTGATACCAAACTAATGCAGGACAAATAGGGATAGCACTGTGAGGACTGTAAAACAGACTTTCTGTGGGTTTTTATGATTGTTTAAAGTTGAAAATCAATAGGAATTTTAAGATTTCATTTAATGAATGGAATGAACTAGGTTTAGGATTAATAAACCGGATGAAAGAGATTAAAACATGAGCTGTTATGGGTGCTGTGAACAGTACCCGTGAACAGTAATTAGGCTGTGGAAGTGTTGAAATTTAAGGAAGAAATAAAAGAAAAGAAGAAAGGAGAAGAAGAAGATAGGTATGGGCATCACACCACGATTCCATAGGCATCACACCTAGGGTTTGATTGCATCACACAATCCATAAAGAAGCTTCAAAGCTCGTTTAACATTTTAGTTTAACATTTTATAAAATATCAAATCTATTGAATTATAAGTATTACATGGCTTTATATAGGACTAAGAGACTTTCTAAACCAACTAAACCTAAAATAGGAAACTACCAAAATATCTTTGACTTCCAAAACTAATTTAAGACTAAATAAGAAACAAAAACAAAGACTAATTAAATAACTTGACTCACAAAACGACCTATGGGTGACCCCTACAACCCATGTAGGAAAATATAAAATTACCAAAATACGTCTCACCTAAAAATGAGATCTTTGAAAATGAGATCTCATTTGCATATCAATTACAGGAGGAGTCTGAGAGTCTGGGAAAATGAATTGCACCTTGAGCTAATCAGCAGATTGCCGCAACCTTGAGCTAATCAGCAGATTGCTGCAACCAATCAACTTGAGTAATAACTGCGAAGATTCTTTGTTATGGGCTCGTATACCATCCCGTTCATTCACAGTTAAGTCTCTTTATGAGATCTTTGAAAATTCTCTTAGATTAACTCCCTTTCCAATTATGAAAATGTGGAAATCATTAGCTCCTCCCAAAATCAAAGCTTTTGGTTGGCTTGTTTGGTGGAATTGGATTGCCTCTTCGGATCTTCTTGCCCGAAGGTCCATTATTCTAGTGGTTAATCATTGTGCATTCTTTGGTTTGGATAATGAAAATGCATCTCACCTGCTCTTGCTTTGCAATCATGCTTGGGAGGTTTGGTCTGAGATTATGTATTGGTGGGGCTCTCAGTGGGTCTTTCATTGCTCTTTACAAGACTTGCTTCTATGGTGGTATGGTCAAAAATTCAAAAATCTGGGTGCACTTATATGGGAAGCAATTCCATTAGCTGTGCTTTGGAGCCTATGGATTGCAAGAAATGACAAGATATTTAACTCTAAAGCTCCTCTTTGGGAAAATATTGTGGAAAGCATCAAAATCAAAGTGGCCTCTTGGGTGAAGTCTTCTAGACATTTGTCTGAATTTGCTATCTGTGATTTTCTATTCTGTCTGGATGGGTTGAAGGGTCATAAATTGAAGGCACTGGCTGGTTAATGGGTTTTGTAGTTTATTATTTTTCTTTTCTTTAGTTTGGTTGTACTCTCTTCAACCTCTTGTATTGGCCTTGGCTTGCATATGATAGGGCTCATTTATAGGTGCCAACATAGTTGGGATGTATTCTTGAGCTATGATGCATTTCAGTCAAGTCCCTTCTTTCTTTCTCATCATTAATAAATCCTTTTCTTTGCTGAAAAAAAAAAAATCCTAGGAGCATAAAAATAATCATAAAATAAAACTACAATAATATTAAAAACATGATTATGTATGGTTCCTGTCGATTTCTCTTTGAAACCATTCCAATTTTCAAATATCGCCACTTTTTTAAATTTACTCTTCTTTGAGCTTCTTATATTTTGCATCATAGGGAACTTTGAAGCTTCCTCTAGATGTCTTTGCAAAAATCACATACACTTCATTGCACTTAGATGTCTTTGCAAAAATCACATACACTTCATTGCACTTTGATAATTCATTGTGCATTAGTTATTCTTGCCATGTGGTTGAATTGTGGCCGGAGCTTAGGCTAATGGAAATCTAGACAAAAAATAAAAAAATAAAAAAAGACCAATACTTGTCAAAGTTGTTTGCGAGTAGATTCTGAGCCTGTGAGTTTAAAATGAAAGATATTAGGCTAACACATTCAGGTTGGATTGTAAATTGTTAAGCCTTTGTATTAAACTCTTAATCCAATGGATTTTGAATTGCAAGGGTGGTTGTGGATTTTTTATCTATCCGGATTGTTAATTTTCACGTATATTGTCATGTCTATTTTGAATTGCAATGGTGGTTGCATATATATGCATGATTGATATGTAGTTGTTAATTTGTTGGAAAGTTTACGTTATTCATCCTTCTAGTGATAAGATCTTAAAACCATAGTTGTATTTGTCGGGTTTTGTAGACTCTGATAAGTATTATACACTGAGCGCTGAGTCCAATGGTGGGTTTGGAGGGCCTTCTCCAAGGTATGTGGGGTCTAGGGAGAGCCTTGGCCTAATTTGTTGGATACTTGGTAATTTCTTGTTGCTTTACCATTGCCGTAATTTCTATGCTTATAAAATAGATGAAGGGCGCCTATTGCATTGTATAAAGATTGTAATCGTTTTCTAATCATAGTGAAAACGACAGTAGCTGTGGACGTAGCCTTATTTTGAGGTGAACTACGTAAATCTTTGTGATTTTTGTGTGTGTGTGATTGTTTCAATACATTTTTATCTTTATTATTTGTTATTTTGTATCTTATCGATCCTGGTTAGGAACAATCGATTTCCTAACAGTGTTGTACAGTGAAAGGCCCACATCTCATACTTACAAGTCACTTGACACATACTTTAATAGGCAATAGTGGATGAGGTACTCTTGTCTAGATGGGTGGACTATCCCAGTAATCATCTCTTCTGCAAATGTAGGGTAAAAATATTCAGTCCTCTACTCACCCATTTGTAAATTCTTAATGATGTACTGTTCTTTATATCTCGTGAAACCACTTTGTACAATATTGGCCTCTTGAGATACACTCACAACTTTAAAATGCATTGTACAATGAAAGTCCACAACTCACATGCACTTATTCGCTTTACACATATACGTCACTAGGCGATATGAGACTTGGTACCGTTGGCCACATGGGCGGAGCAACCCAACACTCATATCACCTGAAAATTAACAAACAAATGAAAAGAAGATAGTAGTACTACCTGATAAAGAGAGAATGTAAATATAGTTATTTCACCTTGTAAGATCAGATGGTGAAATTTTTTGTTTCATACACGAAATACAAATGCTATGTGGCACACTTCTTCCTAATATGTAGCTAAACCCTATGGTCCTTCCTTGCCTTCTATCCCTAAGTGTTCTGCGAAGGGTTGCATAGGATTGAACTTTTTTGGTGGACCAATCTTGTTGGGTCTCACTATAAAGTTTAATGCTCCATCCTTTGCTTTTTATTTTTTCATTGATGTATCCTATTATATTGTACTTTAATTTGATGCATCAATATAATTTATTTTGTCGATAAAAAAAAAAAAAAAACAAAAACCCTATGGATGATTTCGTATTTTTTTTTGGATGTTTCAGCATGCAAAAGACTATAGAGCGATACGGTGAACATGTGAAAATGGTGCAAACCAACAATCCTAATGAAGAACAATTCACGCAGGTTAGATCTTCCTTTAAATGTGGATTTTGAAGTCATTCTGCAGAAGCAAAATGACAATTGCAACATTTAACTTCTAGCCTGTTTTCTTAATTTTGGCAAGTATTAAATGACCAATACAATGAGTGCAATATTGTTTCAATTTATTTGCAAAATTGATGAAAAGCAATGGCTACTTTTAGGCTGTAGTTGTTAATATTACAAATGATAGTATTCCATGCTAAGATTGATATAATTGGTAGATTACATGTTTGTTTATTTTTCTCCGTATACCCAAGCTATAAATGCCACAGTTCCTGATAAGGCACATTTGTGCACACCCTAATTAGGTGTCTTTATATGTATATATATTGGGTGGCTTTTTTCAAGTTTCATTGGTGTTTGCTTCTTATATGAAAGTTTCTTAAGCGCCTCCAGTATAAAGAAAGTAATAACGGGAATGAGTTTTTCATATTTTCCAATGTTGGACAAAAAAGATGGTGTTTGCTACATCAAATGAAGTCCATAGCCTGCATACCGGGGGTCATGTGATGCCAATTGTGTTCTTGCATTGGTTGACGTGAGCATTTTTTCTTTTATTAGCAAAAGAAGGAATTTATTGATGCAAACAAAAGTACAAGGATTACAACCATATTACATCAATAAAAGAAGGCCAAGCCTCACAACGAAACAAAACATGAACTGAAAGGGAGGTTGAACCACCATAACTCATAGAAAATAGTCCAAAATCTTTTCTCAAGATCACGGAAAGGCAGATTATACTACCATAACATGAGATGAAAAAGTGATTTAGGGCAAACCCATTGGATACCCCACCAGCTCAAGCAGGCGGCCCACAATTCCCTGGCAATTTGACAGTGCAAGAATAAGTGGTTTGAAGATTCAACAAAATCCGAACACATTGGGCAGTTAGATTCAATATCTCTCGAAAGAATCCCTCTTTCAGTTAGGAGTTCTCAAGAGGCTATCTTTCCTTGAATAACTTGCCAACTAAACCCTTCCAACTCTGAAAGGGCAAGGTTGTTCCAGATTAGATGTACCTTATCAACCAAATAGTCAAGACCCCAACCAAGGTTCTCAAAGGTTCAATAAAAGGATCTAACAGAGTAAGTCCCATTGTTGTCCCATTGCCATTGCAAACAATCCTCCCTATCAAGAGCTAAATGCACCAAATTTGTTTTCCTATTAGAACACCCAAGAGAGCATTCTCGGAAACAAACAATCTCTTTCTGCAGGAGAAGGCCACTGATTGGAGTTTCCATTTCTGAGAGGAAATCAAGTATTACCTAGGAAATTCATCGTTCAAAGGTTGTCCCCATTCAAACATCATGCCAAAACTGAGATACCTGACCCATTGAGAGGATGTCTTTTTATAATTTTGAGGCTTGTCCGATAGTTGGCTTAGATGAAGCCAATAGTCAGCAGAGAAGCCATACTTTTCCATGATGAAATGACGCCACAGGGCCTTTTCTGTCCCAAATCTCCACCAAGGCATGTGTTATTATTGATCAGTTTTTTAATTCCCAGCCCACCCAATCTTTTATTCATTGATGCATGTCCCAACTTACCAAATTGCAACTTCTTTTTATCTTCTCCATCACCCCAAAGAAACCTTCGTTGCAGTTTTTCCATTTTTGTTAGCAATCCCGGCTGGGATTTTAAACAAAACATAAAATACATTGGTAGATTGGCCAAGGTAGGTTTGATCAACGTAATTCGTCCACCGAATGATAGATACTAATTTCTTTTTAACTTTATCCATGATAGGTTGTAGAAAGTTTTGTTGGATACAGACTTCCATGATTCTATTATTGCAAACTATGGAACTTCTAATCAAAGGGCTCCACAGAGCCTATTCCTTTGATTTTTGAATTTTGTTTCAATCCAATCAGCCTAATAAGCCTTCAAGATCAAACACACCTTAGGGTTCAATAGGGAACCCTTAGAGCTATATGTGGCTACTATGATATGTTATGTTGTTAAATTAAAATTAAATGATTGTTGTTACTCGATCAGTTTCATAATGGGCAAGTATATATAGCATTTTAAACATGTCACCATCATGTTTTAAATATAGTTATGTTTCGTTTTTTAGCCTCTCGATATTGATACACACTTGTATGAACACCACTATACATGTGACTTTACTGTAGGAAAATGAATTTTGCAACTCAGTGTCAATGCAAGAAATATGTTCATTTATATATGTTATGTTAATGTTTTTTACCGTTTATGGCAATAAAAATAAATGTTGTAATCTATACTTTCTTTTCAAAATTTATATTAATTTATATGCTTGCCCTCTCTAGGTTATAATTCTGAGTCTGGTCTTGCATGCAACTAAACCTTGTAATGCTAACATTTGATAACTTGGTATCCGACCCAATGGACCGACTAATCTAGGAGATCAATCTCACCATCCACTAGCAAGGACCTAAAGCTAGGGCAAAGCCCCGTATAAAGCTCCTCTATTGTTTCCATTGCTACATAAAATCAACACCTTCCATTTTAGCATATTGGACCGATGACCTAAAATAATATGTTATCGACCATGTCATTTTTACTTGTATTTACACAAGGATGAGTTTCTCACTAAACTGGGCTAAACATGCAGCAACTGGAGCATGAAGCAACAATTATGTCGCAGAAGATAAAGATTATTGAAGCTCATCAACGGTTCATATATTAGTTGATAATTTTCTTTCCAAACTTGTTTTTGTCATTCAACAAATAAGGTTCTAGGTTTCCTTGTTTTTCTTGCCCTAACTTTGACTTGGATGTCTCAGGAAATTTCTTGGGCAAGATCTGGCATCTTGTTCGGTTGAGGAACTCAGAGAGATTGGCAGCCAGCTGGAGCAAAGCTTAAGAAGCGTTAGGGCGAGGAAGGTATAGCACTTTTTTTATTTTTTATTTTTTACAATGTTCTTGAAAATGGATTTTTTAATTATTTTTTTGGTTTCTTTACCATGAAAATAGGGAGAAGTACATCATTTCTATTTGTTGTCCCAAATACCAAATAGCTTTTTGACAAAAAATAAAAATAAAAATGTTTTGAGACATATTAAACTTAAATTAACCAAACTTTTTATATATGACATATGCATTCCAGGAGCTGTTATTCAAGGAACAAATAGATCGATTAAAAGAAAAGGTACAACCCCATGTCATGGAACTCGGCAAATTTTAGTTTATGTTTTTGTTTGTTTGCTTGTTTGTTTGTTTGTTATTGATCAGCAAAAGTTAAGTTCAATGGTTTGCAAGAATGTTTACATACATCTAATGTTTTGCTTTTCTATCCTCAAATTTAGGAGAGACTCTTGTTGGAAGAAAACGCAAAGTTACATGAAAAGGTGAACTTCATTTAGCTTTTTTTCTAAAAAAAATGTTGTTATATATGGCCTTGCACCTCGAATTCCCAGTGGTAAAACTAAATTGCACAAGCATTAGTTTTTGCAGTTTCATTTTTAGTTGTTTTCTATTAATTTTAGTGTGCGTGTCAATGTTTCTTTTTTTGTTTTTCTTTATTTTAGTTTAGTTTGGCTTTATTTTTGATATTTTTTGATTGGACAATCCATGTAAACTTTTTTTGGTGTTTCAAGTCTTTAGGGTTTAGCTCAATTTAGTACACTTCAAAATTTACAATTTAGAGAGATTCAGTTAAACAATGAGTATCAATTATATAAATTAATGTGATTAAAGACATGTACAACAGAGTTATGACAAACAAATGCAAGGAGAGACAAGTCATTATGATTAATGGACTAGTCTGTTTTCGCCTGTTTTCTTTCTTTTCTTGTTGGTGCCTCAGCAACTTGGACTAGAGATAGTAGTGTAGAGAGTGGTCATTTTGGTGTCAACCTAGTTGGGATTGGTTGGACTACTTGGTTTTTCTATTCTCTCTTGTCTATACTTTATTGATGTATGTTCTTCTTCATGTTTGAAAATCATCAATGAAGTCTTCTTTTCTTTGCTGATAAAAAAAAAAAAAAAAAAATTTCTCCTTTTTGCAATCAACTTGCTAGGCATATTTAAAAGATTAAGGTGCTGATATGACATAATATAAAAATAATTCTAGTTAAAATTGCGGAGTGTTAATTTATGAAATTAAGATTTTAGGTCAAGTAGATTTAATAAAGCAATCTGAAACAAAATTTTGGCTTAATTTAAATTAAATTTAAGGGTGATCAAATTTATATATTGGATTGGTTTGTGCCTAATTATATGTTGTAGCTTATGGAATGTAAAAATTGGTATGGATCGAAGATAAAAAATAAATAAATAAATAAAAGAAAAAAAAGAGCAATTTCTGATGGTATTAATGTACAATATACACCAGCTAATGTAGGAATTTGATAAAGACTACTTATGATTCGAGTTGAAAATGCCAAAAGAATAAAAACAATAATTAAAATCAATGTCAACTCCGGCAATGAAAAGGGATATCATTATTATTATTTACCATAATATTTATGTTTAATTTTTTTTTTTTTTTAAAACTGTGATGTTATGTATAGTGTGCAGAGAAACCATGGCAGCTACAACCAGCAAAGGAGAAAGAAGTTGCAATGAGCAGCCGTAGTAGTCTAAGTTCAGAGATGGTGGAGACTGAACTGTTCATCGGCCTGCCTCTAATGCGCTGCTGATAGCAAATTTTCATCCTCCTCCATATTGACTGCACATCATATATACACACTTGATTCAACATCAAATGATTGCATTTCAAGGCATGCAATAGATCAAATGATGGAACAATTTGGGTACGGCAAAAAGATCATATGTACTTATTCGATCTAGTAAGTGTATCTTATGTCAAAATTGAGAAATTCTATGTACCTATTCTCTTATTTATTACCTTGGTCTACTATATAGGCAGGATACCGTTATTGTTACTAAGAAACTGAAAGAAACCTCGAAAACGGAAGAAAGGGCTCGCATGCAAATCTCGGGTCTTGATTGGTATGCTTATTGGTATATATTTGTTAGTTTCTTCTAATATTGTTGTTTTGTTTCTGGAAATGCCATTCTGTAATTCCATATATATCTGATGTGTGTTGTACATTTGTAGTATGCATTTCATAATCTCTCTCTCTCTCTCTCTCTCTCTCTCTCTCTACATCGACTCGTATATATATATATACGTCGATGTTGAGGCGTAGAAAGGGCTCTGAACCAAAGAAAGCTTCGAATTGGGAGCCTGAGGATGAGAAGAGAGAGGAAGAGGGGGATGAGAAGTCAAAGAAGAGTAAAGTTGAGGTAGAGAGAGGGAGAAAATTGAAGAAGAAATGGAGTTGCTTGGATAGTTGTTGTTGGTTCATAGGGTTTATATGCTCTGTTTGGTGGTTTTTGCTGTTTTTGTACAATGCGATGCCTGCTTCGTTCCCTCAGTACGTGACGGAGGCGATCACGGGGCCTTTGCCTGATCCGCCGGGGCTGAAGTTGCTGAAAGAAGGTTTAACGGCCAAGCACCCTGTCGTCTTTGTCCCCGGCATCGTCACCGGCGGCTTGGAGCTCTGGGAAGGCCACCAATGTGCCGAAGGTTTGTTCAGGAAGAGGCTTTGGGGTGGCACATTTGGGGAAGTCTATAAAAGGTATCAATTTTATTGCTTTTTATTATAGATATGATATAATTGTGGCTTCTATTAGTCTAATTTGATTTTTTTAATTTGTTTTAATTGTATGCTTAATGAGTTGCTTTTGTGTTTGCTATGTGGATTGATTAATTGTCTACTTGAATTTCATTGGTAAAGGTTATTATATGTGAGAAAAAAAGAAAAAGAAAAAAAAAAATAGTGTGCTTAATTGTAATGAAATGGTTTTAAGGCTGCAAAAGTTGTTTTTGTTTCTTTTTGCGAGCCTGTTGGGTGCAGCTTAGAGTCTGTGCTACACTTGTATAACATATTAGGCAGAAATAGCTTTAAAAAAAAAGAAGCTAATTCATGGAAACTGGGTGACAGTTGCTTTTGGATTATCTGCATCTAGCTTACAATAAGTTGCACCAAACACCGCCGTCGTTTGAGTGAAAGATAAGTTCCAAGCGTCTATTCTTTTCCTTTTTGTGGGCTGCAGATAGAAATTGTGATAAATTATTGGACTACAGAAGTCTATCTGTAGACTATAGGACTTAATAGACTGTTGGTGTTTTGATAGTTTTGTTAAAGTTTTATAAGTGGGTACAAGTGGGTCTAAGTGGTTGATGACTTGAAATCCACTCTTTCTTGAGTTAGTAGTAGAACCTAAAAACTGGAGAAGCGTTGCTTGCTAATTCAAACATGTGTCACAAATTGACGTGCTTTGCTTTATGTTGGACAACAATTTGTTTGGTGCTCTGCATCTTTAAGGTTATTCAGTGATTATGCAGGAAATAAATGGTAACAAATGATGAAGGAAAAAAACTGAGATAAGGGCAGGCGATCATGTCAATGAAAAAGGTTATCTAACTGTCTCTCTTTCTCTAGGAAGAGGCCAAGGCTGCCACTGCACTCAAGTCCATATTGAATAGACCTTGTAAAATATCAATGGATGTTGAGGTCCAAACTTTGAACTGAAAATGTTTATTTGTTTCTTTATAGTGGAAGATCCTCAAGTATATGAATCCTTGTTGGAGGGAAATGAAGAAGGTTTCAATGAAACATCATAGTTTGTCAGGCTTCAATTTATTTATTTGCTAATATAATAGACAGGTAATGTTGTTAGCAAAATGAGGTCCAGCTAGCAGTGACAACTGAATCTGCTGACTGATTTAACACATGTTGATGCTATACCTTAGCATAAAGGTCTTGACCTGGCATGATGACAAGGGTTGTCTGCCTTGTGACAGGGTTCAATTGACAGGAATCACACTCCACAAAAAAGTTGGGGTGATGTTGCCAACCCACTCAGTCTCCCATATCTTGTTGTAAATAGAGCCTTGTGCACTAGGTATGACCTTTATGCTATACCCAAGTGTAGGATAATTTATAAGATGATAATTAAGTGCTAATTGGAAGGTTTAATGGTTGTGACTATAGTTTAATGAAATAAGGCACTAGGTCTCTATCTTTGTAGCGTATCAAGGTTTTCATTGTGAGTTGGTGCAGAAATCTGTAGTTCACTCCTACAAGCTTGTGCTTCCAAGCATTTTTCATCTGCTTGCTGCTGGCATGCTTTGTGCAGTTTTACAATGGGATTTCCTGAACCCATAGAAGCATGATTAAAGACTACTCTTTGTGATTTAAGAGTGCTTTGAATTAGGTTTTTTAACAGCACATGTGGAGCTTGCCTGCCAGGGGAACTTATGACCAAATATTTTGTTTTTATAAAGATTAACACTATGTTTGGATTGAGTGACTTGGAGAGAAAAGAAAAGAAATTTAGTGATATGTATTTCTCTTATTTGTTTGGATAACCTAAGTAGAGAGAAATGAGAAGAAATGGGAAGAAATGGAGAGAAACTCATTTCTCTTATGAGCCTCATTTTCAATCTTCCCAAAAGTGGAGAGATTGGGAGAGAAAAGAAACAACTATTTTCATAATACCTATTTTGTCTCTATAAAAATAAAAGAAATAAAATGATTGAAAATATAAAAAGGTTATTTTGGTAATATAACATAAAATAATTTCTTTTCTTTTCTCTTAATGAAACCTAACCAAACAAGAATGAGAGAAATCACAATCATTTCTTTTCTTTTAAGCCCGAATGTCACCGGGGATTTATTTTTGAATACCATCCCCGGCCCGTCGGGGGTATTTTTCGAGAAAAAATCACTCTTATCGGGGACGGGGGGTCGGGTCCCCGTCGGGCCGGGTTCAAATTGCCATCCCTAACTGTCCCCGGTTTTGGGTGAGGGGCTGCATCGATGAGGGAGAGGGACTGATTGGCTGACAGAGACTGGCAGCAAGGAATGGGAAGGATTGGTTGCCAACTGTGCGACAGTGGGAAGAGAAAGGGACAATTTAGGAAAAAAAATGTTTTAGACTCTATTGGTATGAGTGTGTGCGCATAAATTGGCTAGAATACTTAAATATTAAAAAAAATGGTTAATGCACTATGTAGATTGTGGTGGTGTTATATGTACTAATTAATGTATTAACTAGTGCTATTATATTATTATTTATCACATTTATTATATAAATTACAAATAGGAAAATTTACCAATAAATCCCATTTCATAAACTATTAAACCAATTAGTCCCAACTTTATTCTTTTGTTCGGATAAGTCCTATCAGTGGGGAAGTTTGTTTCTTGTTGATCCTATTTTCCATATTTAGTGTAACTGTGTGGACGATTTTACCCATTATTGTTATGTTTCCATATACTGTTGGGGCCATCAATGTGATCCCTCAAACTACGACGCCGAGAGGATCGGAGCCACCGCAGCTTTTGCCTCTGTTTGTGTGTGTGTGTGTGTGTGTGTGCGCACGTGTATCAGTGTGTGTGTGTGTGTGTGTTATGCGCTGGGTGTGTCTTAGAGAGAGAAGACAGAGCTGGGTTTGGTGTGTGCTGTGTGTGTGTGTGTGTGTGTGTGTGTGTGTGCGCGCGTGCGCGTGTATCAATGTGTGTGTTATGCGTTGGTGTGTCTTAGAGAGAGAAGACAGAAGCCATTAGTGTGTGTGTCTGCGTGTTGAAGCCATTAGTGTGTGTGTGTGTGTGTATCAGTGTGTGCGTGTAGATGCATGTGTGTTGATGTCCCAGTCTGTGCCGTGTATACTGTGTGTGTTGTATGTGTTGTGTGTGTGTATCAGTGTGTGTATGTGTGGGTGTGTGTTGAAGCCATCAGTGTGTGTGTGTGCGCACGTACGTGTATCAGTGTGTGTGCGCGCGCACGTGTATCAGTGTGTTTGTGTTATGCGCTTGGTGTGTCTTAGAGAGAGAAGAGATAGCTGGGTTTGGTGTGTGTGTGTGTGCATGGTGTCTTGTGTCTGCTAGAGAGAGAAGATATGTGTGTGGCCGGGTATCCATGTGAGAGAGAGAGAGAATGCTGAGAGAGATGAGTGGTGTCTAAATAAGGGTAATTACGTCTCTCAGAATTTTCTAGGACTAAACGGTTTACTAGAATAAAAATGGGATCAATTGGTTCATAAGTTTACATTTTGGGATTTATTGGTAAATCTCCCTTACAAATATCTAAAACTATACAAATGATATCACATCATCAGTTAATATATTAATGTGTATATTAATTAGTACATATAGTATTATCTTATAGGTTATGAAAAAAATGTTGGATGTGGTACATTTTTTTGACAAATGAGAGAAACTTTTCTCTAAAATTATTGTTAGAGAGCGGCTTTTTTAGTCCGTAATAAACTCAACCCCTCCCCTAAATAATAATAATTATTATAATATTATTTTTCATTAATTTTAAAAATATTTTTCACAAATTTTAAAATACTTTCTATTATATTTTTACTTATTTTTAAAATGATTTTTTTTTTTAATAACTAGATGTCTAGATTAATTTGTGTGCACCTCGACTAAATCCAAAGTCTTGAGATAAACGACTGAACAAATCTCCAATGGCCTTTCAAGTAACTCAAACACGGAGTACTTTTCAAAATGATTTTACTACCCATGCCTTGAAGACACCAAATAATACGCCTAAAATAATTGTTTAGTCTTGATAATGTTGATAGTTGAAAAATATACAATCATTAAATTATTTTATTTCTTATTATTTACCAATGGATTGGGTTTTACAATTTGTAGGATATAAATCGATATAAAATGACTTTAGATTTATCAAAGCAATTCTTTTTCCCAAATAATTCAGAACAATGTTTGACCAAACATCCATATAACTTTAGATTTACCTCGGATATGCTATTTCAGTGGGGGAAAAAAATAAAACTCAAACACAATGATACCCTACTATCTTTCCAACTTGTCACAATGTTTTCGTCGTGTGTCTCTATCGTGTTTGATTAGAAAAAGAAGTGCATAAAAAAAGCACTTCCTCTAACATGTCTAACACGTCTGGAGTGTCTAGCTTGTGTACTTGTATATAATACATGTCGGATACCAATACATGACCACCAGATATTCATGCTTCGCAAGTCATAAAGAGAGTTGTCCAACGTAAGGAAAGAGAAAGCACCGTTGTATGAGCATGAAATCAGCCTACCAAAATGGTGCTTTTCCTTCTACAAATTCCTCTCTAAATCTGAGATCCAAACACTAAAACAGGGCAAAATGTCTACGACCATAATCCCATGGGTAGTACCTTTAAATTGTAAAACTTGCCCTCCGCTTATATGAGCCATACCACTTCATTGATTTTAAGGACATTGTTTCCTTTTCTTTTCTTTTCTGTTCTCTTCTTTCTTTCAGTTTCTCTGTTTTTTTGTTGGTAAGTTTCTAGGATCAGTTTCAACTATAAAGACAATTCTGCAACAAAGCTCATGATGAAAGAAAACAAAATGAAATTCTTGCTATCTTTCAGGAGTAAATAGAAGAGAGAAGTCAGGAAAGTTCCCTGCCCAGTTCAATTGCGATACTTTGTATCAACATACAGATAATGAGAAGAATACAAGAAAGGGAAAACATCAATATTTAACAAATTAATTTAAAAAAAAAAAAAATGGACTAAACAATTACCTAGTTGACCAGCAGCTGAAAATCCTTCATCCTATAGATTTAACATGGAGAAGAGATTCTGAAATGGAGATCTCAATTTCTACCATCCACATCAAACCCAGACCCAGTCCACCCTGGTCCTCTACCCTTGGGAATGGCTCCTATTCCCTTTCCTCTCCCCTGTATTGAGATTTTCTTCTTCCCTCTTCCTTCATCCTCAGAAGAAGGTTGTCGAATGTGGCCATTTGGGACCGGAGCGTTCCCACCATTTCCTTGATTAGCAACACTTTCAACAGCAGCTGGTGCTGATGAGGTAGGAAGTGGGGAAGCATCTTGAGCCGGGCTATTCTGTGCAGGTCCCGTTGGTTTCCCATCCTAAACACGATTATCAAGTTGCAAACTTCAGCACTTCTATATCTACAAGTAAGAATATGCAAGTATCCATGCCACTAACAAAAAAATATTAAATATTCTTGGAGTACCATGTAGCATTGTTTACATGTTATGGTCAATGAGAAACTGCAACACCCACTAAGTGAATTATTATCATTATTATTATTTTGATAAATACTATGTGAATTATGATTTCTCACGATGGTGCTCTGGGACTACCAAATAATTATCCATCACTGAAAAATGTTTACACAAGAATGACACATAGGTAATGTTGTCTTTTTGTGACAATTCCTGTGAGATGAAGCAAGTACTTCAGTTTGGTTGTATCATATAAGATTCCACCTAATGTTTAGGAACCCCCTGATGGAGTGTGACGGAGACTGAAAACAATAAACAGAAGTAGACTGAAATAACCATCAAATCATGGCAAAAACTTGAGAAATGATAATCAATTGTTACAATAGACTATTATAGATATTGTAACCATGAGCAAATATCATTTTTTCAAACCTTATCCAATTGAATTGCATACGTAAGCCTCCCTGACAGGAATTTTCTTACTCAAAGATGTGTGATTCATGCTCACGTTTTTACCATCTCAACCTTATTTGCTTTCCATCATATTCTCTTAGTGATGTCATTATACACTTCTGATCAGAAATTCAGAAATTCCGACCCCATAGGATACAATTCCATGTTCTAAAAAAGTATAATTTCTCAACAAAGGCATTGCTTTCTATAGATAAGCTTCTATAGTCATGTTGTTATAAAGAAAACAGTTACACCAATACAGTTTACCTCTAAATTGTTTGCCCAAATTGACCGTAGAAAGAATTTGATGGCTAATGCATTAACTTCTCTTGAGCTACAGTAGAGGCCGGAAACAGGGAGCTAGTCCTTTCCTTTCCTTTCCTTTCATGTCATTTCTCCCCTTAGGAGGCAAAATAAGTATTTCCCAGATGTGGGCGTGGGAATAAAAAGATGGTTGATAAGTTAAAGACAACAGAAGGAGTGAATAGCTGCCCACATTATATAGGAGAAATAACTAGGAAATGAACTTGTTCAGTGGGAAGGACTACTCACTAGTGCTAATACCATGGTATTTTTTGTACACATTAGCATGTCCATAAACACACAATCTAAGAAGTACGGACACGGATATGGATGCGGACATAGGATACAACGATTTCAAAAAAATAGGGATACGGACACGGCAATAAAATATATTAATATATTTTTATTTGCTATCTAGATTAATATTACATTTACAAACAATCAATATTAACAAAAACTAACTCTAATTCTATTTGTAATTAAAAAAAAAAAGCACTTTGAAATTAACACTTATAATTTATATCTTTTTTTTTATCGAAGATGCATTAAGTATTTAAATCTAAGAAAAAAATAATAAGCATTCAAGATTCATCAAGAGCACTAAATACAATGGGAGAAAAAATAACTTGGCATGTCTCTAGTGTGTTTCCGACGTGTCCCCTAAAAATAAATTAATTAAATAAGGAGACACAACATGTGGTGTGTCCTATATGTGTCACCGAAGTGTCCGATAAGAATACGGCACTTGTTTTGAAGTGTCGGTGCTGCATAGCACACAATCATGTTCTAACAAATGTCATTTGGTGGATCAAAAGGAAATATCATACGCTAAAAAGTCTGACCAGAACATATGACACCACACTTGAGGTGAGATGATGAAAACAAAGTAATCTTCTATGCAAAAGCATAGACGTGAATATGAAGTCAAAGTTGGAAGGACTTACGTAATGGACAGAATTGGATGATCTGCCTGGGTTCAAAGCTTCTAGTCGCCTTTTTAACTCCTCCAGTCTAGCAAATTGAGAGTTGCTACTTTCTTGAACCTATAAAAGACAATTAAATCAAATAATGACCAAAACAGTGAGACTTCAACCTCCACATTTCGTTAAGGCATGTGTACCAGATTGTTCAAGTCTTCACATAACTTCTGCTTAATTGCTTCCTCATCCTTTACAACCTTTGATGCTGCCTCCCACGCCTGAGATGAACATCAAGAATCAATGGGATAAAAGGAGGAAAATATTTCGTTCAAAAGGAAAACATTAGACAATCCATTAACTCCTTGTGCATTATGAAAGTTATGACGCTAAATATGGATTAAAAAACAAGTTGACAAGAAAAACGGAAATTCATGTAGGCCAAGAAGCTTAAAGACCTTTCTCTAACTTGAAGCATATGTACAGAAAGATCGGTCTGGTTATTTTCCTAGGTAATCAGTTTAATATGATTCTAGATATCAGAAAAAGCAAAGTCGGCTTAGTACAACTAAACAAATATAATAAAAAGGAACTAAAATTACTAAAAAAAACAAGTGCCTATTTTTTCTTGGGTTTGGCTTTTCTCAAGTTGTCATCTCAACTTGAGAGAGCATTTGGGCTTGGTAGACCTATTTTGGATCCGATTTTAGTGATCCACACCATTCACTTTTTAGGACTCGTCGAGTAGAATATTCATGCAAAAAATCAAGATGATTGGATATCAGTAGCTATATGTTTGAATCATATTTGTTTTTAAAAAATGAACGACAAATATAATTTCAAGAATAACCATTCATTTTTTGTAATACAAATGTGATTCAAACATATAGTGACCAATGTCCAATTATTTTGACTTTCGCATGAATATTCTGCTCAATGAGTCCTAAGTGAACGGTTTGGATCACTGAAATCGGTCCCAAAATGAGCCTACTAAGCCCAAACGCTCTCTCAAGTTGAGATGACCAACTTGAGAGGTCTCCTTTTTTCTTTGATAAGTTGGTAAAAGATAAATGCTTTTAAAAGAGTATATTTTCTTTCATACAGCCACCAATTATTTGCCAACAGTGTCAGTTTCACACCCAGATACACAGATATGTTGAGACACAACTAAAAAGATAATGTACACACATTGTATGATGATAAAAGGATAACTGTTTTATATTTGCCAAGGACCAAAGGATGTGAGACGAATCAATAGATTAAAAAGGACAAACCTTTCGTGCTTCTTCTTCCTTCAGCTTTCCAATACGAATTCTCTCAGTTGACATTTCAATTTTCTTTCTCATGTGTTCAAGTGCTTAAGGTATTTGCCACACGAGAGAACAACAACAATAATCACTTTACATATTAAAAGAAAAGAAATTTCACAAAATTCTAGTTAGAAAAACCAGTTATGGCAATGGCCTAACCTGCTCTTTTTGGTCCAGCCGTGAGTTTCATCTCTAATGTAAGATTTCCCAACTCCCGTTCAACATCACGAATTTTGGTATAATTTTCTTCAATGTATCTGGCAGGCAGTATTACAAAAAGATTGGCATATATTAAACATATAAACTTCAACTTCAAACAATCAAAAGGCATATAAAATAAGGAAACTCCAATCATTGGAATGGTGAACCTGTCTCTTTTCTGATTTCAACATAATTACAAGCTGGAATGAAAAATCATAATTAGCCATTTGTATTAATCTCGGGTCCTCAATGTAACATAGAAACATGGTGGGCTCTAAAGCACTAAAAAGAGACAGAGAGAAAAAAAGAGATCTTCATATATTAGGTTCACAATATAAGCATTCATGACTCATGAGCCTTAATGCTTGTATGCAGCTCAAAAAAACTTCACCCTGGGGAATTGGTCTCCATCCTTCTTCCCAAGACAACAAGCCCAGAGGAGCTTTTGAAATGAAGCTTGGCAGAGCGAAGTAAAAAACTATCAACTCAAACAGGTCCAAGGAATGCCACTCAGCATAGAGACCTTGAAACTCCTTTTAAACATTAACAAAAAGGAATTTGACTACTGATTGGGGCTACTAGTTACAACTTACAAATTAACCTTCAATTGCAATGTTTATCGTCTAACAAGATTTTCACTCATGATAAAGAAGATCTCAACCTTAACTCATCTGTCAAACCTTTCTCTATATCCCTTCTCTTGTTACATACTACTACACCCACAATTTGTTTGGAGGATTGGGAGGGTGGGGAGGAAATGGGGATTAAAATTTCACTATGATACATGTACAATAAGTTAAGGTACGAGTTTGGTAGATCACCCATATGGCATATGGCCCAACAAGATAGAGGCCCACCACCACTTGTGGCTCAAGACGAAGACCCTTTATAAAAGCCAAGGTATGGACCATAAACCCTAAGCTCGCCATCTCTACTTTCTCTCTCTACATCTACACCTCTAACAAAGGCATTGGAGGGTCTTTGGCTGGCACTACACCGGTGCCCCAAAGACCCACTTCGACTTCTCTTGCAGGTTATTGGATTGGATCGAGACCATACAAATCTGTTTATCAACACACTACATGCCTTCTCCTGTTATATTTCATACACATTTCATCCAACTTTTTCAAACTCCTTTCCAAATCCCTTCCTAAATCTATGAACCAAACACAGCCTTATTCTCTTATCTAAACAATTCAAACTCTAGTATACATCACCTAGGCTAAAATAGTTGTTTCAGGCTCAGCAACATTTCTTCTCCCACACTTGCATTCATAATTCAATCTCACCAAGTTCAATAAATGGATAAATAAATAAACGATGAATGCAGAATCAAAGATGACTGCAATGAACTCGGGCAATAAATGCGAACTCAATTTCTTGAATAATGAATAAAGATACCCAAAAAAAAGAAAAATAAATAAATTAAGAGATCCAAAAAATACAATTGAGAAACGAGATTCAAACTTACCTCCTTAATTGAACCTGCTCTTCCTCAATTATCTGAAAACAACGAACAACAAAATCACAAACAATTCACCAATATTATACATACAATATATTGAGAGACAGACCTTTTCGGTGTAGGCGATGACAGAGGCTTCCCTGGGGAGGCCATCGGGTCCAATCTCCGGAAGCAAAGAAGAATTAGTGTTGGCGGCCATTTTTGATGGAATCGAATCGGAATCGAATGGCGCTTCTGATCTCACCGGTGATCGGACTATCTATACCAAAAACTCCATTTTTTGTACCATATATGTATAGATATAGATACAACGATTTTATATATATGTCAGCGGCACGTTGTTTCGGGTCGTGTAGATGGAAAACGGGTATTCGGGTCGTACCCGATTTGGAAGTATTTTAAAAATTTGATAAAAAGTTAATTTTTAAATTTTTTTAATATATTTTATTTTTTTATAAATAAAAAATATGAAAAATGGTATGACTTAGAAGGAGTAAAAAATTAAAAAAAAACCCTTATTGTCCAAATTGCTATTCGGATGCCCTTTAATGAGGCTAAACCTAAACCACCGCACATGGTCTTGGCGCCCGATGAGGATTGAGTGCGACTGATTGTGTAATGGCTACGCTATAATAAAATGAGTCTCACTCAAAGGACAACTTGGGATTGAGGATTTTTTATTTATTTATTTATTAATAAATTATAATCAATTTCTCTATGATTTGAGAAAAATATAGTTAATTATATATTTTTTATATAATTGTATTGATTTTATTTTTTTTAAGGCTAAAACAATTAAAGTTAATGCAAATGGTAGATAAAGACTAAAATAAACAAAAATATATATACACGTTTTAGTAAAAAGTATATATCTAAGTGTCACTACATTTCTTTTTCGAAATCACTTTTTTAGACCATACCATGTGAACCCGTACCTCAATACTTTTCAATTGGTAGCCTCACCTCTCCACCTCCAACAATCCTTCTCCCTTATGGCAACTTCCCAAACCCTCTTTCAGCCCTTCCCTCATTGCGACTCCCCTTCTATGATGACCCACCTTCCTAGCTCCCTCTTCCCTTTCGGTTCCCCACTAGTGATTCCCTACCTCATTTCTTTCACCCAACAATCCTAATTGTATTTTTTTAAACTCCAAAAAAGATGAAGGCAATTTATTTATTTATTTTGCGTTTATATATATACCTAAAAGGCTATGATTTATCAGTTGGGACTGTATTGAAGCTCTTTTAGCGATCAAATCAATCTAGTTTGCTTGTGATTTAGAGTTGAATGACATTATTCTTGAAGGGGATTCTTAATGAGTTGTTCAAGCTTTACAGTCAATGACGGAGCAGTTGTCTTCTTTTGGGCATATGGTGGCTTGTGCACAGTCGGTGCTTGCCAACGAATGAAGCAATATAAATTCTCACAATCTCTTTGTTGCTTACATCTTTACTTAATTTCTCTAACTTTCTCTTAACTCCATAGCTCCATAAGAAAAATAGTAGAAAGCTCTTTTTTTTTTTGTTATTCTGAAATTGGTATCAGAGCTTGGTGAAGAGCTTTTGAAAGCAAGATCAAGCTATGTAAGTATTTCTGTCTATATATAAATTTTGATAAGTGTGTTTTGGTGTGCTTAATGATATATATATAAAAAAAAGTTTAGTCTTTAATTGTGTTCATAATTATTTGTTTCATTTTATAGTTGTTGTAAAACCTATATACTTAGTGTATGTCAAAACCCATACTCATTAAGATCTTTTGACTATTAGCCATAATTAGGCATTTTTAAGTCTTTAAGATCATAAAGAGAGGTTTTAGGCACCAGATAAATACACTAGGGAGGTCTTAGGTACCAACAACAATCTATAATGGCAATTAACCCTGAAGATATAATATGCTTTGGAAATACAAAAAATAATGTTATTAATAAATATGACCATAGTTTGCATATTACTAAAGAGTCAGCAAATATAAATAGTGTGTATACTAGTTTAAATAATATTAATGATATTATATGATCTTGGTTTTCTAAATTAGATAAAAATCAAAAAATAAATCAAAATTATCTAGAATTCAAAGTGGAGTCCATAGAATCTAAAATAGACAATTTAGGTTCTATAATAAATATTGACTTAAACAAATAAGTAAAAGCACAAATAAACAATTTGGTGACAAATTAGAAACTATATCTTTCATAAAGAATAATGAAATGAATAGTCCACGAGATAACTCTATTCCTAGGCTATTTTATGGTACAGAAAATATTATGGTACTTCAAAACCATACCTATAATAGGACTGAATATGAAAATATTGTTGAAATATTAGATTATTGGAGAAAATCACATAAAGATCTAGATTTAGGTATTAATGAAAGAAATAGACTACTAGATCAGATAAGAGAAACTTAGCTAAAACATGAACCTCTTTTACAACTCTTTAATTATAATATTAATATATCAACCAATGATGATGATAGTCAATCATCCTCATCTGAAGAAACAATAGATCAAGATGTTTCATCAGAAATAAATAAGGGGAAAAGTAAGGCAGAAAAATCGATTGATCCCGAATTGTTTGGCACATGAGGAGATGAAGAAAATTTTGACTTTATTTAAACAAATGAAATTAAAAATGATACTAATACAGGAAGTACCTCCAATCCTATACCTGAGCCAATAATATCTAGAAAAGATAATAATCATAAGTATTCAATAGCTCAAAATGGTACTTATTTAGACTTGTCTTATGTTCCATTTAAGGATCAGCCATAGGCAATTGATTATTGGGAACAATTATTGTCCATCATTATTATCAATTATAAAAATAGTTGGTCAAAGGAAAAATTCCTTGATTATATTGCAGTAACTCTCCTGGAGATGTGTTGCAATGGTTAAGACAGTAGGAAAAATTTAAAACTGGAAAAAGTCAAAAAATAGCCTTGTTGGCAAATTTTCTCACACTTGACATAATATTAGCTGAGTTTGCAAAAATCATAAAAGAAAATTTTTGTGGTTTTGCAAGAGATACGAATTTGCAAGCAGATGCAAATTATATTTTGACCAAATTAGAATTATGTAATATTTGTCTTTTTGAAGACAGTTCAAACTTTTTAAAAAATATTATTATCTTATTGATCTATCAGCAAATCAACCCTGGTTAGATCAATTTTTCTATAAACTCCCTAATCCATATGATGATTTATGTATTAAAACATATCTAGACTTTCTCAAAAAAATGGGGAAAGAAGAATATGATAATTTTGGTTTTCGCATTAATTATGTTCTAAGATTGATAGCACGTCGGTGTCTAGAAGCAAAGGTGAAAAAACAAATAAAAAATCAAATTTCCAACTCACAATATGGTAAAAAATGTTGTGATAAATTTTTTTAAAGAAAATTGAATAATTGGTTGTAATACATTTCGCAAACAAAAAGGATTTTTCAAAAAACATAGAAAATATAAATGGAAACCTTGGAAAAAGAACAAAACTTTTTCAAAAAAGAAAAAGTATATTCGAAAAAAGAAATAAACAAGTGTTTCAAAAAAGAAAATTTGTAAATGTTACATTTGTAACGAAGGTCACTATGAACCCGAATGCCCAAAAAGGGGAAAAAGTGCAAAGAAAATGATCAAAATTCTTGAAGGACAATAATATATGGCGAGAAAATTTCTGATGAAGAAGAAATCTTATACGAAATTTCTAGTAATGAAGAAAGTTCAGATGAAGAACTAATCTTTATGATGACTAATATAGATAATCAAGAATTTATTGCTTCAACAAATGTTCAAATTCCTATTTTTTTAAGAACAAGAAGACAATGTGAACATATAGGTGTCATTTTCAAACAAAAAATGATGATATTATTTTTTCTCCTAGTCAAGGAAAAAGAAGATACACATATGTATTGGGAACATTTGATTTTGCAGGTTATAGACCTTATAGCCTTAGTGTTCTCATAGATACAAGAGCTGCAATCAACTTATGTAAATGGAATGCCATACCAAAAGAAAAATGGACATTAATGAAACATTCAATTTTGGTTACTGGAATTGACGGGAACCATACTTCCATACAATTTAAGGCTAAAAATATAGCTATTTGGCTAAATGATAGCAAGTTTATTATACCAAAAATTCTATGTTTTCCTTATATGCATGGAGATTTCCTTCTTGGAAATTATTTATATATAAATACCTTCCAATGCAAATACAAGAAAAAGCCATTTCATTAAGCATAAATAATGTCTTAATTCATATTCCCTTGTTAGAACAATATAAATATATTTGTGATAAAGAGTTTTACGCCCGTTCCGTGTCGTGATTTAACTCCCATCATCAAGACTATTGATGAATCACATTGGATTTATAAAATTATAGAAGAAAATTTTAGTGAAAATCCATTAAAACTATGGCAACGTAGTCCGCGTTATTGTAGTTTAAGATTTAAAGACCCTAATGTTATCATTAGAGTAAGACCAATGATCTATATTGAACAAGATATAGATGAATTTGATATTCAACTTCAAGACCTTTTAGATAAAAAGTTAATTGAAGAAACTAGAAACCCTCACTCTAGTCCAACTTTTATGGTGAGAAATCATGCTGAAATTAAAAAAAGAAAAGCTCGAATGGTAGTTAACTATAAACGGCTAAATGAAAATTTAGAATTTGATAGATATTTTATTCCACGAAAAGATATTTTAATTAACTTAACCAAAGGATAAAAAATATTTAGCAAATTTGATTGTAAGAGTGGATTTTGGCAAATTCAATTGACTGAAGAGTCAAAAAAATTGACAGCTTTCAGTATACCTAGAGGACATTACCACTGGAATGTTATGCCTTTTGGGTTAAATATAGCACCACAGGTATTTCAACGGTAGATGGATGCAATTTTTAAATATCTTAAAGATTGTTGTGTAGTCTATATTGATGATATACTTATCTTCTCTAAAATCCGGGAGGAGCATAAGAAACATTTAAAATTACTTCGTGAAAAATTCCAAAAACAAAGAATTATGTTATCTCCAAAAAAGATGGAATTAGAAAAAGAATCAATTGAATTTTTTAGAATAATTTTAGACCAGAAATGTTTAAAATTACAGGAACATATTTTATCTAAAGTACGAGATTTTCTTGATACTCTTGAAAATATAACACAATTGCAGAGTTTATTAGGTATTTTAAATTATGGACGAAATTTTATCAAAAATCTTTCAAAAATAGAAATTCCCTGGTTAACCAAATTAAAGAAAAATGTTATTTTCGAATGGACAACAAATGACATTGCTTTAATT